TTGCCTCTGGAACATTTTGAATGTCCAAAAAAGCCTCAAATCGTTCTATGAACGAATCAAAATTTTCTACCGTTTCATCGAACTTATAGAAAGAAACAGAAATTTTGTCTTGTTTATGTTCCGATTTCTCTTGCAATGCGACCATTAAAGCTTCATTCTGCTTTATCAATTCTTCAATTAACTTCTCCATCCTTTCAAAATAAAAATCAAATAACTTTCCTACCTTTTGCAGTTTTCGGGGAATCCCCTAAATCCAAGTTTCGGTTTTGCTACTACTTTACGCATGTAACCGAGTGCGCCGAGTCGGGAACGATTTTCTTCTCACACAGCCTCGTCGCCAACTTGTTGTGTCTAGCGGTGTGGGTTCAGTGAAGTGCATGACGCAACCAAAAACAGACTACTTCACGGCACAAACATTTATTTCTAACTAACTCATAAGACAGCAGCGATGCGCTATTTACGCAGTTACATTACATTCTACTCTACTCTCGTTCACAGAGGTTCTCGGGTATAAGAGTACTGATACTCTAGAAATCAGATGCTACAGAGAGTGTTATTCTTCAGGAGTTGAATAGTGTTGGCGAAACCAAACAATGTAAAAATTCTTGTAATTTACGACACCGATCTGTTCGATCGCATCCATCTCAGTGCACCACTTCACATGATAACAGGAACATGGCGCGCTGGCAGTGATGGATCGCTCAGTCACATCACAAACCATAGCACAGCACCACATTCAGTCTGTAACGCATCATCCGGTGTCTGCGCGTATCATTTGATGCCGTTTACAGCAGAGTGGTCTGTCCGCAAGACGTCCATTGCTTCGTCTACTCTTGACACAGAACCACAGATGTCTCCGTCGCCAATAGTGCGATGAAAGAAGGATGTGGATGGCAGAATGGAATGAAATTGTCTTTACTGATAAGTCGCGCTTCTGTCTGCAACACCACGATTGTCGGATTCGAGTCTGAAGACACCGTGGAGAGAGGATGCTGAACAGCTGTGTTATGGACTGCCACACTGGTCCTGCACCAGGTATTATGGTATGGAGCAGTATTGGATATCACTCTCGCACTCCTCTAATACACATTGCCGGTACTTTAAACAGCCAGCGCTACATCTCTGAGGTGTTGGAGCCCAGTTGTCCTTTCTTACCTTCAGGCCTTGCCCACAGCCATATTTCAACAGGACGACCACACGTGGCACGCATTGTCCAAGGGTTCTTCGTCAATTGCCAGATTGAATTGCTTCCCTGGCCGGCTTGCTGTCCGGATCTTTTGCCGATAGAAAACGTGGTCCATGGTTGCTGAACGATTGACCCAGATTACATCCCAAGCTGCCACACCAGATCAACTTTGGCAACATGTAGAAGATGCTTGGTCTGCTGTACCCCAAGAACACATCCAAAGTCTCTTTGAATCAATGTCGAGGCATGTGGCAGAGATGATCTCCAACAATGGCGGCTACTCTGGCTACTGATTCTGGAAGGAACCACACTTCACAAGAAATCTATAAATTTAATCATTTGATATTTGGTCAACATGTTATCTACTAAATAAATTTTGTTGTGATATCTCTTGTCTTTCTTTGTGTTGCAATTTGGGTGGCCAGCAGTGTAAATATTTAAGGAAAATATTATGTTATCTTGCCAGTTTGATGCAAGAGATTTTCAGTCTTGCATTCCATTCCACGTATTTCTACTGCCACTTTCTTAGCCACTTTAGCATATATCTAGCTATGCTGTCCATTTCCAAATTTATTATCTGTCATTTTTTTCCAAATGGATTTTGTTGATCTGTTTAGCCTCCTTTGTCATGGGTCTTTGTCATTGCCACTTTTTGGGTATTTCATGGCTGACATTTTTAAATTAAAGGTATTTAAATTCTGTTTAAATTATATGCATTTGTATTTTTAATTATATATATATTATATATATATTTATCTTCTGCATTTGATATCCTCTACTGTAGGCTTTATTTTTTAGTATAATTTGGCATTGGAAATTATATGTAGCAAAAAAATTGATACTTTTTTATTATCTACAGTCCCACTGAAAAGTTATGAACTTTGTAAAGCAAAATATCAGAGTTTGCCCTAACTCAGCACTGTGTGCAGAAGATGATAAAGATTGCCAAAGAACAGTTGAAATTTCAGTGTACACTCCAATGAAAGACTCCAGAGTAATGAAAATAAAAGAGATCAAGCTTCACAGTTTCATTATGATTTGTTATGATAAAAACAAATTTACTCAGTTCAAAAATGAATAATAATCAGAAACATAACTGTTGGATTCCAAAATCCACATGTACTCAAACATGTGTGTGTGCTATGTGCTAGGTGAATGATCATAAAAATAGCTTTGGTGACATTGCAGGCTGCTACATAAATCCATGTTGCAAACATGGATGTCTCATCCATACTTTCTTGGGGCTGTTCGGTGAGAGTGAAAGTAATCTGGTGGGAGTGAAAAGTGCCAAAAATTCTTCAGACATATATAGAGATATTTTGTCTGAATAATTTTCTCTTATCATTAATTTTTAAGCTTCTGATTCTGTGTAAAAGTTGTATATAGAGTTTAAATTAATGTAATTAATAGAGTTATACAGTACAAAGTCTGTAATCTGGACGCCCACAATCCGGAATGATCTATAATCTGGACCTCAAAGCTACAAACTTTATGTGCATGCATAAATGCATAATGCATTTATGCATGCACGTTTAATGTATAACAGACGGTATAAGCTAGGCTAAAATTATCTAAGACATTTCAGTTAATGTTGCAGGTTATGTTGTTCCTTAATCTTCTAATTGGATCCGGCTTATTATTTTTTGCAGACTGTTAGAACAATTTTATAAAAATTAAGCTTGAACTTTCGATTATATCAAAAAGAGTTTCCAATTCTGGAGCTGCCAAAGGATCTACAAAGCGAAAGCATGTTTCTATGTCCATTAAACAAAAAGTAAAATTACTGCAAAAATGGATAAAGCCCTATCCGTCTCAAATTTTATGGGAGAAGTATGGCATTGGAAAGTTCACTATATATGACACAAAGAACTTTTTGAATTTTTTGTGGAAGCATCTTAAACAACTTGCATTGAAAGAAATGTTTAATAAAGTAAACAAAATAAATATTAAGCTTTTTTTGTAAATTTTGATATCCTTTACATCATAATTGTTCTTTATTTTATAAATTACGATTTCATATTTTTAATTGTATCGTTTCTGCATGCCATCTTACCAGATTTAAATTGATGATCTATGATCAGGAAAAACCCCTAATCGGAATCGCCGAAGTCCCGATGAGTCTGGATTACGGACTTTGTACTGTAATTGGAAACTAGTAATTATTAAGCTATAGTTAAGGCATTTTTTATTTAATACAAGTTGCATTACCGTTCATTTGGATTGATATTTTATCCTTAGCAAAATTACAGGGTTACAAACTCAAGATTTACTGCACAACCAAAAGTACATTCGAAATTGTGGGCCCATTACTGAGACCTCTTTCTGAATTTGAATGTTGATTGGTTACCAGTGGTATTCTATATGTATGATCACACAACTATTACACGTATGACAGAATCAGTGAATAATGGCTTTACACTTACAGTTAAATACAGTTTTTTCTGTAAGATGGATGTGTGCACATAATGGGCCTCGTCCTTCACACTGATGATGAATGCAATAAGAATATGTATTTCTGCCCTCTTGGGGATAAGCAGCAGATAATACTAGAGTGCTCCCTTACATGTTCCGTAATGTAACAAATGTCCAATAAAATGCACTCATGCTCTGGGTTGCAGCCCTTCAACACAACAATTAGTCACATCGACATTCACAAGAGGGACTCAGTTGCAATAAACCACATCCTTCATTACTACAATCTTGAATGCTGGCAGTGGACTGTGAGTTATTTAATGACCAGCCTAAGCTGTCACTGAGAAACAGATCTAAATATTAGCCACAGAACTGTGAGAGCATATTTGATTGTGCAGTATGATCATGAGTTCTCATCCCTTTGGAATTCTCTCTCTAAGTTACATCTTTCAGTTGGGCCAAAAATAACAGCTTCACATGTATATTAACTAATGGTGCTACTGTGCTGCAGCATTAACCAGAATGTCAAGCTGGCCTCTTTTAGTTTATACTGGCTTTCATGTTACCATGGAATTCAAGACTTACACTGCCAAAATTAAAACTGGTTTGCATTATACATCCTTAAGTGCATAAGTGTTATTGTTTTTACTCCTTATTTGTTACATTGTTTTTTTATTTGCCATTTATTAGGTCCAGCTACTACTGTGTATATGTGAATATGTGCTATATCTATAGCAAAATTGAGGTACTCAAATCATCGTAAGATGGCCATATCATCCACAAACCTAGAAAGTATATCCCGCTTACAGGATGTTATTCATGTAAATTATTATAAATTAATTCCTGAGAATGGGAGTTAATGTAGAAGGCTAATTCAAACAAAGCTGGTAATATATATGAATATCTGTATGCTTAGATTATTTTAGGCAACTTTTACAAAACTGGAATCCAGGAATTCCATACCTTGTTTTCCTTTCCACCTGATATTTCCCAGCCCCCAGGTATTTCAAGCTGTTTTCTGAGTTGGGTTACTTGCTTCAAATTAACTGGAAAAATGTTTATTTAGTATGTTAAAATACTGATTGTACTTTGAAAGTTAGAAAGAATAGTAGGCTCGATTATAAAGTAATAAAAATAAAATGGTGAATTTGTATTCTTAAGTGTCTATGTGAGTATGATCCTTACCAGTCTACTTGAGTGAAAAATTTCATTTTAGTTTAAAAAAAAAAATCTGTTACTATTTGGATATATTAATAGCAGTTTCCAAGAGTAATTAAATATACGAAACGTGTAAGTAATAAGTTATAAAACTGATTAGATGTATGTTTTTCTGCTTTTTCTTGTAATGTTTGTTCAAAATACATTGTTTTATTCCCTTTCATTTGTATATTTCTAATTTTAGAGGTTTTAGGAAATGGTGGAGAGATTTACCACCTAACAAGAAGAAATATTTCTTGAATGTGATAAAGGAAAACAGAAGAAAAATTGGAAGTAAGAATAATGTATAAACTTATTTAATACTGTGATATTGGGAGAGATGTACAATGTGCAATTAATTCCATGCATTCAAAATTACATAAAATCTGTGATATACGAGGTTTGGGGCCGGATCACAAAACGTATATGTGTCGTGTGGAAGTTCTGCAGGCATAGTGTGTATGCAGAACAACATTAGGCTCTGTGGTAGCGAGGGCTCTGAAATCAGTCAGTTGGTGAGTGTCGTGCGAGATGGAAGTAACCCCTGTTGAGCAGCACGCTTACATCAAAATAGCCGTTCTCCAAGGGAGAAATGTGATGGAATGTCATAGTGAATTAGTAGAAGCCCTTGGGAATAATGCCCTTTTCATATCGTACAGTAGCACGGTGGATAAGAAAGTTTCAGTAAGGACGTGTGCCAACCAGTGATGAGCAACGTTCGGGACGACCAGTAAGTGTGTGGTCGGACTTAATACGTGCCATCATCGAGCACCTCTTGGATGAAGACAGACGATGGATGTTACTGGAGTTAGAGAGGGCAAGTGGCATCAAAAAACGCACCGTCCACAGGATATTGCGTAATGAGCTACAGCTATGCAAAATTGCTTTGCGGTGGGTACCGCATGCACTGACAGAAGTTTAAAGGTGGGTGCGCCATACAATATGTTCCGACTACTTTTGCACGCTGGCAACAGGACAGCGATCAATTCTTGTCACGAATAATCGCCATCGATTGGGCCAGGGCATACGAACTGAAGCGTCAGTCCACGGAGTGGCAACATCGTGGATCACCAAGGCAGCAGAAGGTCTGTCAGAATCCTTCCACAGTCAAATTGATGTTGATCATCGCATATGACATCAGGGGTGTCATTGTTTGCCACTTTGTTCCTTATGGCAGAACAGTGACCGCACAGTACTACAGGGACTTCCTGGTGCGACAGGTATGACATGGCGTTTGGGACAAACGTCCGGATCTTGTGGACAGTCAATAATTCTGCACAACAATGCAAAACCCCATAAAGCAGAGTGTGTACGGCAGCTACTCCGACGTTGGGGATGGGAAGAATTGGAGCATCCACCTTACTCTCCTGACCTTTTGCCCTGTGACTTTGATCTCATTCCCAAGATTAAGGAACCAATACGTGGTAGGCGGTTTGCAACACAAGAGGACATTGCTAATGCTGTGCGCCAGCAGATGACCCGATTCACACATGGTGCGGCAAATGCTGAGGCAGATGGTATTCAGTGCCTCCCACATCATTGGCAGCGTGTGGTGACAGTAGCAGGGGACTACATCGAGGGTCTTTAGGCCCAGGTTTGTCACGTAAACTTTATGTGTATTGTGTTGTCATTCTTTTGCATGGTGAAGGCCATATTGCCCTGTATACTACCATAATAAATTCGTGTGTTATGATATTTCAGTGCTATTCATTGTCTACACATGTAGTTAAGACCTTGTCCTTTCATCTGTATATGTCACATTTTCCAACTGGACTGGTATCTTCAAGAAAAAAAATAGTTGCCATGACTTTTGCCCCAACCTACGTATATTTTCATCAAATATAAGATACTGAATATGATATGTCATATAGTATCAGTACACCAACAAAAATATACAGAATTTATTCTGTAATGAAAAACTATTTAGAGGTATCATATAAATTTTAAATAATGAGATAAAATATTCTAGGTTGACAGAATCAAACTACCTTTAAACATAAATGAAAGTGCATGAGCTTTCGCAGGCGACCCATCTGATTCATTAGCTGGGGATAGAATGTATAGTTTCATCACATTTATCATCTTTATTTTTAGTTTTCACTGGGTTGTACTCAGAATTGGTGTCAAGATGTATGAAAGAGTGAAGGGAAAGTCTCTCTTCCAACATGGCTTGATGGTTATTTCAAGCATATCTCTAATTTTGAGGCATTTTTGTTGTGAGGTTTCATCAGGATTTCAGCCTTGTCCCATTCCATTATTGAGTGTGGATGCTCAGTGAAGTATTTGACTGAAGATATGCTCTTTAATTGATAAAGTGATTGGCAGAGAGCTTGGAGATTATTTTATGTTTGGCAATTCGTATTGGTAGACTTCTGGATGCTGAGCCAATATATTGAGTTTCTTTGCTTCTATTTTTTGTTGTGAATTGGAATAGTACATACACAAGAAGCATCTCCTGTGGTGATGTCTGATTTATCTGATCTTAACAATTTCCAGATGGATGGAATTTTGATAATGGCAAGTTTATAACCAAATCTTTTAAACTGAGCATATGTGTGGAATAACTGAGTAGTAGGGAAAAGTTATGGTAAATTTGCTATTATATGATATTGTTACAAAATGTCCAGCTGTGGTAAGATACCTTCCCCGCAAAGGTTTAGGGTTGCCAGAAAATGGCTAATGGGAGGCAGGGTTGCCACATTTAGCAATAAAATTGGCAGTGCCATAGACGGATGGAGAACCTTCTGGAACAAATTCTTACTGGTTTAGCCCAGAATGTTCTCGAATGCAAGCCAAAAGCTATATAATCCCTGCTGGTACGTGGAGAGTTAGTCCGTGCTGAGTCAGTGTCTCGTCTAGCGAGTCAATCGTGAGTCAGTGAGAGTCCATCAAATTGATAGTCAGTTAGTGATTTCCGAGTGCATCAAGAGAGTCTTTTAGTGTATCGTGAGTTAGTGCATCATTGAGTTTCATCTTAGAGTGCGTTGAGCTTCGGGAATGACTGTACCGAGTCAGGAGCTGTACTCTAGTGCATCACGAGTTGTAGCGTGCTGAGTCTTAAAAGTACGTAGAGTTCTGAGAACGATCGAGGAGAGTCGGGAGCTGTACTCGGTTTCTTTGCCGGGAAGCTATCTGCACTTTTATAGCCTGATAATCTGAAGGCTGTGTCGCTGATTATTTCAGCATGTTTATAGTACAGTACAAAGTCCGAAATCCGGACTCGTTGGGACTTCGGCGATTTCGGATTTTTCTGAATATTAGATCATTAGTTTAAATCTAGTAAGATTTCATGTAGAAATTATAAAATTAAAAATATGAAATCGTGATTTATGAAATAATGAAGTATTTATGATCTATAGGGTACCAAAATTTACAAAAAAAAAAAAGCTTTATATTGTAATTTATTAACAGGGCTGGGGAGTCAGTAGGAAAAATGACTGACTCCGACTCCTGGAAATTTAATGACTTCGACTTCGACTCCGACTCCCTCAAATGGGCCTATTTCATAATCTTTAGTCTGTCAAATAGCTCTTTGACAGTGAAAATTCCTTTTTTCCTTTCTTAAATTCTTAATAGTTTCGACACGACAATTAGCCAGAAATTAATTCATTTCCATTCACTAGTATTTTCAAAATAATTTTAACAGAAGGTTTCACTCAAATAAGAACTCCACAGAATACATCCCTTAAGAATTCCGAGTCCCACCCACTACCATAAATTACTTCACCAAAGTCTTACCGACTGATATGCCCCTGCTGCCGCTAAGAATTTTTCGGAAACACTACACTTCTGAGTCAGACGCGAAGAGAACACTTTGCCCACTCCCCACTAGAAAGAACGTAAGTTAATTAATACTTTTCCTGGCCTTATATCTTCATGTACATTCACTTTTCTTATTATATTTTTTATTTTAATATATTTTTTTATTTTTTTTGCAAAGTTTGCATTATTTATCTTATATTTGTAATTTTCTAATGTTTATATCAACTACTTTGAATTCTACTTCATAATGACAATTTCCAATGTTTAATTTTTACAAATAATATTGAACTCAAATGCATAAACACGAGAGTGTCGGGGGACGGTTACTCGAGCTTTATAGAAATTGACTGCAGAAATTGCTTTTTCACTCAAAATTGAATTGGCTAAAATGCATAATAGGAATAAGTTCTTTGAATATCAGCATTGGCTTATAATCCCTTCTATTCACGGAAATATTTGGCCTGACTTGAATTGCCGGTTTGGCTTAACCTTATTGCTCAAATGAAGACGAAACACCTTCGTATTTATTTATTAGTTATTGTTCATTGAATGGGAGTTGGTTTGTTCCCCTTGAAAAGTCAACTAATTTACGGTCAATGACAATGAATACATGCATTTAATTTATTCCTTTTACAATTGAAATTTTGTTATTGATGATTTAATTCCAGTCCCCGTTAAAACATTTTTAACATTTTACTTTCAAGTTACTTCAAAACATCTTTCACAATATAACTTACTAGTATGGATTCAATCTTTTAAGATAATCCTACTATTATTAAGCTTAGATAATATAATCAATTCATAAATTTTTTAGTAAATAAATTATTATTAACTTACTTTGCAGCAATTGCGCAAGTAGTAGTATTTTGTTTTCACACTAAATGAATTTAAGATCATACGACATATATATATGTAAACATATACACATGGGTTACAGCTTATTTTTTTAATATAAAAGAAGTAATAGATGCTGCAGGGGAAGAATTCATGGCATAGCAAATTATTTATATTAATTGGCATTTATTATGAAATGGAAACCTGGCATTAGTTATTTCTAAGAAACAGTATAGCTTCGACAGGATTTTCTTTGTTGGAGGGCCATAGATACAATTTGATAAATGTCAGAGCTGAGAAGAGTCTTTCCACACTAACTTGAGTAGAAGGAAGAACTGTTACTGTTAGGGCTACTTCATTTAACTTTTCAGGATAGATTTTTAGAACTTCTAAAAGAGGCATCTTGCAAGCGCAATCATATATTTTTCTATTTCTTCAAAGGCCGTGTAGAAATCTTGTTTGTATTTTCTCATTTTTATATCTAAAGCTCTCATTCGCTTTGCCTTAGCCTTTTCAATATTATCCAAAAATATTTCTCAAAATCTAATTCATCAGTGGAAAAGGATGATAGACTCAATTGCAATGTCTGCAGTTTGACTGTCCTGATTCGAATTCTTCAATTGTTCTGAGAATAATTTCATTCTTAATGAAAGTTCATAGATGACTTTCTTTGCCTTTTTAACTTGTTTGTCATCCAA